TTGTTTTGCACTCTACTGGTGAGTGCAGGTCGCGCCCCGCTTCATCCAACGCGGTCTCAGCCTCGGTAGATGCGACGACGGGCTCTGCTTCTAGTAGCTTCTTAGTGGGTCCTCGTAAGAAGTTAAGACCCGTTCGTGGGGGTGAGTGCTGGACCTGACAACGTGCGTCGTTGTCATCATCAACGTTGGCGTCAACAATTATGGCGAGGCACAAAGAGGTTGATGCATGAGGTGCGCCTACGATAGCAGCAGAAAGGTATGGTATGGTGTGCAAACCCAATTCGAGAACACGGGGAGGGAGTATGGAGTATTGAAACGAGAGGACTGGCCTTGAGTTGGGGTTGGGTGAGTGCTGCTGGTCAGTAGGTGGGGGTATGGTGGGGATGGAGGAAGGGACCAAGCAGGACTCTCCTGCACGATGCACAACAGTGACGCTATGCGTCATCGCCAGGGAGGCAAAATGCAGGTGAGCAAAATACTGTTGGCGGGACTGTGGCAGTGGCGACGCGAGTCGTCTAGGCGACGCTCAACTTTGGTGACTCAGGCAAAATGTCGTTAATCGCGCACAAATCACGTCGGTACCCCCCCCCCCCCCCCCCCCCCCCCCCCTCCCCCCCTTCTCAAAATCGCATCAGGGTGGTACCTGACACTACTCTTTATCATTAGGGCGAGTACACTAAGCCTCTCTGGAAAATCTGTGTTACAAAAAAAAATCACTTTTTCTTATAAGGGCGCCCAGGGCCTCGAATTCACTTTTAGGGACGTTTAAGCATCAGGGTCCCTTTGTGAAAAAGGCTGAAAATCAGCGTTCCATTCGAAAAAAAGTCTGAATTTTCAGGGTGTCCTAAAAAAATAGCCTGATTTTCACCCTCTATGACATTCAAATATTTCAGCCGCTAGACTCGATCTGGGGCCCTTCAACTTCCATAACGAATTCACTAACAACTAGACAATTCAAGCTATGAATTTCGGATTTCGGGCTTAACCTATGTTAAAATGTTGAAGAAATGGTTCAATCTCGGGTGTTTTGTAGCAGGGATTTGGAATGTGCATTCAGTGTACGCTTAAATAAAAGGCTGGAAAATCAGTCCCCTTAGAGAAAAAAAAAGGCTGAAAATGTCAGAATGTAATGGTTGTCTAGCCTGCAGTGGGGTACTCTATAGCGAGTACAGCCCTTCTAGGGTTTGCTATATGTATCCCTATGCTTGTTAGTCAAAACCCCTCTTTGCCTATTTCTCGTTTTCGCCTAGCCTATTCGACATGCTATCAGAGCAGGTCGACCCTCCTGGGTCGATCCTGTGGGTGGTCCCGCCCGTTAGCTTCCGCTGCTGTTCTGTGTGTCGCGCGCCCCGTGGCGCGCGACGGATTTTTCTTCCCGCCACGCACTCGGGCGCGCGGCAGTTTTCTGCTCGCCGCGCGCCCCGAACGCGCGGCGGTTTTCTGCCCGCCGTGCGCCCCGAGGCGCGCGGCGGTTTTCTGCCCCGTCGACCGTGGCGTCGCCCCCAGGAGCCCGTCGCGTCGCCCCGCAAGCCCGCCGCGTCGCCCCCAGGTGCCCGTCGCGTCGCCCCGCAGGCCCGCGCGTCGCCTCCCCTTCCCGTCGCCCGTCGCGGCGCCCTGGGGGCCCGCGGGCCGCCCTTTTCCGTCGCCCGTCGCGGCGCCCTGGGGGCCCGCGCGTCGCCCCCTCCCGTCGCCCGTCGCGGCGCCCTGGGGGCCCGCGCGTCGCCCCCTCCCGTCGCCCGTCGAGGCGCCCTGGGGGCCCGCGAGCCGCCCTACCCGGCGCCCGTAGCAGCTCCCCAGGGACCCGCGCCCCGCCCCCCTTCCGCTCGCACGCCGCCCCTACGCGCCGCCTGCGTTTAGGGTTTGGGGGTGGCGGGTATGGGGGTGCCGGGTGTGTGCGCCGTCCCCTCCTCCTCCTCCTTCTCCGTCTCCCACTGCTGCAGCTGCCGCTGAGGGGGGTGGGTGTGTGGGAGCCGAGGGAGTGGCGCTAGGGGGGTGTCGTGGGAGTGGAGCTAGGGGTGCAGCAAGGGGGTGTGTGAAAAGGGGGTGGGACAGCTTGGGGAAGTCGAGTGGAGGCCGTCGACTTGTCGTCCGCAGCGCCTGAAGTCCAGAGAGCCACGACCCCCTGTGGCCGTGTAGTCCGGGGCTCTGCGCCCGGTAGCCACAGTGTGAGCTCCCCTGGGAGCACAGCGAGCCAGCTGCGACCCCCTGTCGCCGTGTAGTCCGGGTTTAGCCTGGTAGCGACAGTGCGGCGCACTCCTGCTGCCCGTGTGTCTGCAGCTTCAGCCGTCGCCTCTCATCTTCTTGCTCCCACAGTTTCTCCTCCTCCTCACTTGTGTCAGAATCTCAGCCACTAACCACTGGGATAAAAGGGCTTGTTTGTGTAGCGGGTGAGTGCGCCCATAACCCCCCAGGCCGCCATGCCTGTAACCCTTCCCTAGGATCAATCGGGGATCACCAGTGGACCTCTGACACCCCCCCGCACTGGGATGCCCGAGGTGCACACACCGGGATTCGAACCCGAGACCTTCGCTCTGATACCATGTCAGAATCCCAGCCACTAACCACTGGGATAAAAGGGCTTGTTTGTGTAGTGGGTGAGTGCGCCCATAACCCCCCAGGCCGCCATGCCTGTAACCCTTCCCTAGGATCAATCGGAGATCACCAGTGGACCTCTGACAACTTGCCTCTAGCTTTGCTTGTATTTGTGAACCTACTGCTCTGCCTGCTTGTTGTGTTGATTGTACCCCACTTTGACTATGGGGGTGTGTCAGAATGTAATGGTTGTCTAGCCTGCAGTGGGGTACTCTATAGCGAGTACAGCCCTTCTAGGGTTTGCTATATGTATCCCTATGCTTGTTAGTCAAAACCCCTCTTTGCCTATTTCTCGTTTTCGCCTAGCCTATTCGACAGAAAAATCAGTCTCTCTAAAATCTCAACACTGAAAAATCAGTGTAGGTACAAAAATTTAACATGAAAATCAGGAATTTCAAGGTTTTTTTCCTGATATCTGAGAGCCTGAGGGGGCCCATAAAACAACTCTGGAAAAAAAAAGGTGATCACCTAGACCCTCCTTTATAGGAAGGGCCATAAGGGTGTTTTACCGTGATATCCAGATGCCTCGTTGTCGACGTAGACAAGAACGAAGAACCGAGTGGAACCAGTGCGAACAAACAGCGACAGATCGGCTACGCGCATAAGCTTAGGGGGGCTAAACAACGACGGGACAGGGCGCAAGCAGGGTGGGCAGGGCGCGGCGGCGATTTTAGGTGCGCGCGGCGGTTGTATAAGGGCGCGCGGCGCATGCCGTGGCTTTGCGCGAAGCTGCTGCTGCACGTGCGCGTGTTACCGTAAGGCCCCGGATAGAAGCGCATGCCTATGATAAGCGCCGGCGCTTATAAAAGGATGAGGGCGCTTATATCCGGTCCTCGATTATAAGCGCACCCCTGAAGGCTTACGGATTATACCGTCATACCCCGGATATACCCCCATGGGGGGCAATAATAAAACAGGTTTTTTTAGGGGGGTGGGCTTATAATCGAGTAAATTTATAAGCGCCGGCGTTTATAAAACGACATATATATTTTATATATTTTTTAACACCAAGCTGTAGATCTCGTGCTTGCCTTTTTCAATCGAGTCGAAGTTACATGGGGTCGTCTGTGAAATTCTTGCGCGCGCTGGAGATACACCCACTCTGACAGCTCCTGACAGCTTCTGACAGCTTCTGACAGCTCCTGACTGCTCCTGCTGACTGGACCCGCATCCAGTGCAGGGTCCGAATGTGAAGGGAAGTGAATCTGCAACACATCCCTCTGCTAAAGTAAACATGGTTACAGTGTTTCGAACACATTTCAAAATTTAAAGTTTACGTGCGCTTATAATAAAACAAGTTTTTTCAGGGGGTGCGCTTATAATCTAGCAGCGGATATAAGCGCCATGCGCCAATTAAAAGTGCCAGGCGCTTATCCGAGGGTGGTGCTTATATCCGGAGTATGACGGTAAGCGCTACCCTTTGTAATGTTTTCTTATATTTTTACTAGAAACGCTGTAACGAAACACAACTTTGCATTCCCACATTCAGAATTTCTAATCCCTTCATCGTCCCGCGGCTCAGTGCCTTCGCGTCCAGTCAGAATGAGCTGTCATGGGGTCAATCTGACTCATTATGACTGTGTGTTGGCATGGAATCAGCCACTGCCAATTCACGCGAAATTCACATTCATTGCCCTCTGCAATATCGATTCGATTCAATTCGCAAGAACGACATGAACACTTTGGTGTAAAAAAAACTAGATTTCATAAATGTAATTTTATGTTAAGCCCCGGCGCTTATAAAAATCCTCAATTATAAGCCCACACCCTAAAAAAGAGTGTTTTTTTTATAACCCCAGGGGCGCTTCTATCCGGTGTATGACGGTACCGCGTATGCTCTCGGGGTTTAGGCTAATATAACCATATATATATATATTCATACATTGTTAGGCTATAGTGGGGCTAGCCTTAGGGGGTACAACCTTCTAGGGTTTGCTACTTGTACTCCCCTGCTATTTCCAAACTCCAACAAAGGAGACGATATTATGGACCTCGGGCCTTCTATTTGTGAGGATCTACTATACAGAAAAACATGGTACTGGTTATAGAGTCACTTGAAGGGAAGTCCTAGTTATAAGAATACACCCCAATTGAAGGCACCCATCTCAACTCAACACTGTCTTCTATCCGAGCACTGACGAGAATATGCCCCCAGATACCCCTCCTGCAGAACAAGCTCGGAAGAATTACCAACCAGCTACCCCATCCCAGCCACCACCGGAACCCCTGAACAACCTCAACAACACCCGGAACCCCCGAACAACCTCAACAACACCCATGGGAGCATGTGGCATCACTCCAACCCCCCTCCCCCCCTTCCCCCGCCTTCTCCCCTTAACCCCTCTCCACTGTTAGGTTGGGAAGGCCCACGCTTGCATGGTAGGGGTGGAGGGAGAGGCGAGTTCGGGCTACCCCTTGGAGGGGGCGGCCATGTTCTGGTACACGCGCAGGTCGCCCGTGAAGCTGCCCGCCACGATCACCAGCCCCAGTGCCGACGCCCTCTCCGCCGCGCCCTCGCCCCACTGCCACCCCCCTCCCTCGCCCCCTCCTCCCCCTGCCCCTCCTCCTGCACCTCCCCCTGCGGCTGCGGCTCTGCCCTTGGGTGGTGTGGGTGCGGCAGCTGATGCGGCAGCTGCCACCTGCTCTTTCCGCCTCGATGCTGCTGCTGCCAGTCCACCCGCTGCCTGTGTTGCTGCCTGTGCTGCGGCAGCTGGTCCAGCCTGCGTTGGCCCCTCTGTGCCCGCCACTGCTGCTGCCGCTGCCTCCAGCCCGTCGGCTGCACTGCAGTCGCCGCCCGCCAGCTCATCACTTGCCGCCCAGGAGGGAGAGAAAAGACGAAGAGGGCTTCGTGACGCCCCCGGGGCAGCAGAGTGCAGCGGAGGCTTGCTCGCACCTGCTGCTGCTGCCCCCCCATCTGCTGCCGCACTCCAGCCTCCGTCCTGCACTGCCTGCCCCAACCCATCGCCACGCGCACCGCCTGCCGTGCCGTCAGCCATGGCGGCCACAGCAGCCTCAAAGCGCTCCCTCACCGCCCTGCCCGCCTCGCCCGACCCCCCCACGTCCGTGGACGTGCTGTGCTGCCCCCCGCTGCCGCCCACACTGGCACTCGTGGTGGGCCGGCTGGGATCGCTGTCGCCATGGCTGCCGCGGCTGCGCTGCTCCCAGTCTGCTCCTGCGAACGAGGGTGAGGGAGAAGGCACCACTGCTGTTGCTGTGAGGGCAGCCCCACCCCCATAGAACAGCCCCACCATGCTACTGCCAGTGCTGCCACCAGCAGCAGGCGGTGCAGCAGTGGCAAGGGAAGGGGCAGCAGTGGCAGGGGAAGGGGCAGCAGTGGCAGGGGAAGGGGCAGCAGTGGTGGCAGCAGTGGCAGGGGAAGGGGCAGCAGTGGCAGGGGAAGGGGCAGCAGTGGCAGGGGAAGGGGCAGCAGTGGCAGGGGAAGGGGCAGCAGTGGTGGCAGCAGGGCGTGCGGGCAGGGTGGCAGCGGGAGAGGCGGAGCTGGCCCCTCTGGGAATGACGCGCGGCTGGTCGGGCACAGAGGCGCTGGCAGCACCCGAGGGCAGCAGCGACGTCTGCCCCACTCGCTGCCTCTCCACCCCCAGCGGCCACACTGCCACGGCACTGCTCACGCTCGGGCATGCAAAATACTCATAAGCCTTCTGCCGGTCATTGGGCTGCCCGGTTTTGGCAACGAGCCCCGGCGGGTTGTAGAGGAAAATGGTGCCGTCCTCGCTGGGCGTCACGATGAAGTCGCCGCCCACACTGACAGCGGCGGCGAGGTGCGAGGCGGTGTTCTTGTGGCCCTGCAGCTTGCACTTGAGCTGCGCGCCCTGGTACAGCTGCAGGCGCGAGTCGGCCGCCGACACGAGCACGTGGCAGGCAGACCCCGGCACCGCATGGATGCCCGTGACCTTCTTGGGCGGCAGCTTCTTGGCCTTGCCTCCACGCAGATCCACTGACTCCTCCAGACTCAACTCACCGTCAGCTGCCCGGCATACCATGCATGGGGTGGGTCAAACAGGGGTCAAATAGGGGTGACAGGGGTCAAAGTGGTGACAGGGGTCAACGGGGTGAAAGAGTGGAAACGAGTCAATGAAGTGAGCAGAGCAGGGTTACAGAGTTGCACAGGTGGCTTGGGTTGTGGCAAGGAGTGTGAGACAATGAAGATGCCCCAACGCTGTGCTCTTGTGTGTTGTATCACACGTGCTTTGCACGGTCTTGTTACCTGAGATGGAGTAGAAGCGGCAGTTGCCGATGGCTGTCCCCACCGCGATGCCCTGTGAGAGAGCACAGCACCACATAGCAGCCACACAACAACGCACGAGGGGAGAGAATGGTTAGAGCACCACATTCAAACGTTGACACAAATGAGAGCTTCCATACGACAGCTTTGGCAGCACTCCCTCGCACATGCCAGCATACTTGCACGACTAATTGCCCAGAGAAAGAAAGCTCCTGAGATGAGGCGAGGAGGACACAGCCCGCAGCAGGCACTTGAGCACTATGCCTCCACCTTCTCACGCACCTCTCTCAGCACACGTGGCACGTGGCGGCGGCAGCGCGCTGTCAAACTATAATTATATAGTTTGGTTAGTTCTAGTCTAGGTGTTATGCATTGTGTTACATCTGTCACAGCACTAGGGCTAGGGTTTGCCATATTTTGCTTGTTCCTTGTTTCCTTATTCATTCTTTCTCAACTCTAGTAAGTTACCACGTCAACATAGCATCAAAGCTAGAAATCGATCCGATGGGCAAGTGCACCTGGGCATGAGGGGTGAAGGCGCACCTGGGCATGAGGGGTGAAGGCGCACCTGTCCGTGGGGCATGAAGGCGCACCTGTCCGTGGGGCATGAAGGTGGCGGCGGTGACCATCTCACCAACGTCCACCCAGTCCAGCACGGCGCCCTGCGCTGCCGCCCATACGCGCACCCTCTCGTCCAGCGCCCCCGTCAGAAACACACCCGCCTGCCGCGGATGCCACGCCACCGCCGTCACTGCAGTGCAGTGCACCCAGGGGGACACAGCGGACGACACGGTGGCACGCAATGATGGCCTGCACTTGCCTATGTCGGGGTGCACTTGCCTATGTCGGGGTGCACTTGCCTATGTCGGGGTGCACTTGCCTATGTCGGGGTGCACTTGCCTATGTCGGGGTGCACTTGCCTATGTCGGGGTGCACTTGCCTATGTCGGGGTGCACTTGCCTATGTCGGGGTGCACTTGCCTATGTCGGGGTGCACTTGCCTATGTCGGGGTGCACTTGCCTATGTCGGGGTGCACTTGCCTATGTCGGGGTGCACTTGCCTATGTCGGGGTGCACTTGCCTATGTCGGGGTGCCCTTGCCTATGTCGGGGTGCACTTGCCTATGTCGGGGTGCACTTGCCTATGTCGGGGTGCACTTGCCTATGTCGGGGTGCACTTGCCTATGTCGGGGTGCACTTGCCTATGTCGGGGTGCACTTGCCTATGTCGGGGTGCACTTGCCTATGTCGGGGTGCACTTGCCTATGTCGGAGTGCACTTGCCTATGTCGGGGTGCACTTGCCTATGTCGGGGTGCACTTGCCTATGTCGGGGTGCACTTGCCTATGTCGGGGTGCACTTGCCTATGTCGGGGTGCACTTGCCTATGTCGGGGTGCACTTGCCTATGTCGGGGTGCACTTGCCTATGTCGGGGTGCACTTGCCTATGTCGGGGTGCACTTGCCTATGTCGGGGTGCCCTTGCCTATGTCGGGGTGCACTTGCCTATGTCGGGGTGCACTTGCCTATGTCGGGGTGCACTTGCCTATGTCGGGGTGCACTTGCCTATGTCGGGGTGCACTTGCCTATGTCGGGGTGCACTTGCCTATGTCGGGGTGCACTTGCCTATGTCGGGGTGCACTTGCCTATGTCGGGGTGCACTTGCCTATGTCGGGGTGCACTTGCCTATGTCGGGGTGCACTTGCCTATGTCGGGGTGCACTTGCCTATGTCGGGGTGCACTTGCCTATGTCGGGGTGCACTTGCCTATGTCGGGGTGCACTTGCCTATGTCGGGGTGCACTTGCCTATGTCGGGGTGCACTTGCCTATGTCGGGGTGCACTTGCCTATGTCGGGGTGCACTTGCCTATGTCGGGGTGCACGTGCCTATGTCGGGGTGCACTTGCCTATGTCGGGGTGCACTTGCCTATGTCGGGGTGCACTTGCCTATGTCGGGGTGCACTTGCCTATGTCGGGGTGCACTTGCCTATGTCGGGGTGCACTTGCCTATGTCGGGGTGCACTTGCCTATGTCGGGGTGCACTTGCCTATGTCGGGGTGCACTTGCCTATGTCGGGGTGCACTTGCCTATGTCGGGGTGCACTTGCCTATGTCGGGGTGGGGGAAGACGCGCAGGCAGTGCGAGGAGCCGACATGCCAGAGGCGCACCGTCCTGTCCGCTGAGGCCGACACCAGCAGTGGGCGCTGCATTGGGAGGGGGGAGGGGCACACGTGCTTCCGCATGGTGATGGGGTGTCTTGCACGCACATGCACGCATGGTGATGGGGTGTCTTGCACGCACATGCACGCATGGTGATGGGGTTTCTTGCACGCACATGCACGCATGGTGATGGGGTGCCTTGCACGCACATACACGCATGCATGCTTGCATGTCAATAGTGGGTCTGGCGCACCACCAAGGCAGGTGTTGATGAGGGGCATGCGGAGGGGCATGGGGAGGGGCGGCATGACGGGCGGCATGACGGGCGGCAGGAGGGGCGGCATGACGGGCGGCATGACGGGCGGCAGGAGGGGCAGCAGGACAGGCGGCAGGACGGGCGGCAGGACGGGCGGCAGGAGGGGCGGCAGAACGGGCGGCAGGAGGGGCGGCAGGAGGGGCGGCAGGAGGGGCGGCAGGAGGGGCAGCGTACCCCATTAGAAGCCCAGGCGAGGTCGAGCACATCAGCAGAGTGGCCCGTGAAGCAGCACAGCGCTGCCTCCTGCAGGCGGAACAGCGGCACCGCCCGCCCCATGCTCGCGCCCCCTCCCCCGCTGCTGCGTGGCGCTGCCTCTGAAGGGGCATGGGGGGCGGCAGAGGAGGGGCGCAGCAGCGGGTGCATGGGGGAGGAGGGCACGGAGCGGAAGCCAGACGCCAGCGACGCCGCGTGGGGCAGGGCAGGCGGGGCAATCTCCTCCGATGCAAACGCCGGCGCCCCATCCGACCGCTCCCGTGGGTACCCCCGCGCCCGCACGTGCGCTTCGTCCCACCCCTTGGCATCCACTCCTCCACTGCCCCCTCCCCCACCCAGCCTCCCCCCCCGCTGCTCCCACGCGCCCACCACCTCGTCCGCTGCACCAGTACCGTGGCCCGCCCCCTGGACCCGCCACACGCGCACGGCGCCGTCCTGCCCGCCCGTGGCCAGGTAGCGCCCGCAGCAGCTGAAGCGCGCCACCCACACGGCGCCCTCATGCGCACCGCGCACCTCCTGGCGCAGCCAGAGGTCGGAGAGCTGGCGGGCGGGCTTCCTCACGGCCGACACCTTCACCCTCACCGGCCCCACCGGAGGGGCGCCCCACGCCCCACCTGCTCCACCTGCTGCCGCCGCTACTGTTGCTGACTTCGCCATGCCTGGCCCCGAGCCTGCTAGTCCGGATGAGGCTAGGCCCAAGCCTCCCAGTGGTCCGGCAGGCGGCTGGTCTGAGCGCTCCCCTGGCGGCACTGAGGGCTCGCCCGGCCTCTCCCCTTCCCCCGCCCATCCACCCCCATCCCCATTGCCCTCTCCCGCCACCGCTCCCCCTGCAGCCCCTGTACCGCCCTCTCTGCCCTCCCCCTGGCCCCCCTTACTCTTGCTGCCATCCTTCCCCTTCCCGCTGCCTCTCTCCTTGCCACTGGCGCCGCTGCCACTGCCACTGCCATACCCGGCAGCACGGCGAATAGCCTTGAGCCACCCGCGCCCGCGGCTCGACTTGGGCCGGCCCTGCGCCCCCTCATCCCCCGCATCCTCCACACTGCCCTGCTCCCCCTTGCTGCCCTCTCCGCCCTCCTCCCCCCCGTCCCTCCCCTCCTCACTTTCCCCCACCCCTACGCGGGCCTTGCTCTTTCCCCCCTTGCGCCCCCACCTGGACTTCCTCCCACTCTCCTCCGCCCACCCACTCTTGTCGTCACTCTGCCCCTCCCGCTCCCACTCTTTACCCACTTTCTCCCCACTTTCCGCTGAAACCCCGTCCTGCTCTTCCTCCTTCCTCTTCCTCCTCGTCCTCCTCCTCGTCGTCGTCCTCATCCCCCTCCCCCCCCTCCTCGATATCACCGAACACCTCACAGCGCGCCACATGGCCGTCCTCCTCGTCATCGGTCAGCCCCAGTGTGTCCCGCCGAGCACTCACAAACCGCACCCCTTCGCGGTACTCCGCGTCCGACCCTTCCTCACCACTCTCAACCACACCCACCTCTCCTCCATCCCTCCTCTTCTCCTCTTTCCCTTCCTCCGTGCCTGCCTTCCCTCGCCCTTCGCCGCCCTCCTGCTCACCACCCACGCCGCCTCTGCTCCGCGCGCCGCCGCTCGCTGCGCCACTCCCTTGGCCTGCGCCGGCCACCGCGGCCTCTGCTGGCCCCTGCTCGCCCTCGCCTGCGCCCGCCGTGCCACCAGCTGCAGCGCCTGTGGGCGCCAGTTGGGTCTTCTTCTTGCGGCGCCGCTCCACCACGCGCTCGTCCCTCACCGCCTGCCTCACGGCCCTCAGAGCCAGCAGCGCCGCCACATTCTCCCCCTCCTCCACGCCCTCAATCCCCGCCCCGCCCACACTCCCCCCGCCGCTGGACGCCCCCGCCTGCCCTCGCCCCCTCATCACCTTCCCCCCAAAGCCCCACCGCACGCCCTCCGCGCCCATTGCCCCGCCTGCGCCCGCCTCGCCCCCCCAGAGCAGCAGCGCTGGGCGGTCCACGAGGTACTCCTGCCCCGAGGCGGTGTCGCGCACGCGGATGGCACACGCCACCTCCAGCCGCCGCTCCTGCTCCTCCCCTCCGCCCTCCCCGCCCACTCGAATGAACCCCACCACGCCCCACCCCCCCTCTGCCCCCGCTGTCGCGCCCCCTCCCCCTGCGTCGGCAGCACCGTCGCCCGCCCCCACGGCCACCTCCAGCCCGTCCAGCCCGGCCTTCCTCCGCGCCGCCGCCGCTCGCTGCGCCGCCGCTGCTGCTGCCACCGCTGCTGCCTCCGCCTCCGCTGCTGCGGCCTCGCGCGCCCACTCTCTCTCCCTCTGCTCGCGCTGCTGCACCAGCCCCACGCCCCCCAGCAGCACGCCCCACGACCCCGCCCCCTCCCCCTCTCTGCCCCCGCCCCTCGATACTGTCACATCCTCCACCGCCTCCGCCACGTCCGCCAGCCCCCCCACGCCCCTGCTGCGCGCGCCCTCATCACCGCCCCCCGGACTGCCCGGCCCCGCTGGCTCGTCCATCCCCACTGCTGCGCCGGCGCGGCGCCGGAGGCGGGCAGAGCGAGGAGTGACGGAGGCCCTGATGCGAGGCGACACGGTGCGAGGCAGCTGCACCTGCATGCCCACCGCCACCCTCATGCCCCTCCCCGCTTCCCCCCCGCCCTGCACCTCCCCCTGTGCCCCTCCCTGCGCACTCGCCTGCTGCCACTGCTGGAATGTCGGCCTTCCGCCCCGTGCTGCTGCCTGCCCTCCCTCCAACTCGTTTGGAGCATCCTCGTTATTGCGCGCTGAAAGCCCTCCTGCAGCGCCAGCAGCAGCAACAGCAGCAGCAGCAGTGGGCGTGAGTTCAGTTGCGCCGTCCACCCCCTCTCGCCCATCGCCCCGCCCCTCGTCTGTCTCCTCCGCCTCCGCCCTCCCCTCATCCTCCGCCATCCACTCCGGCGCCACACGCGCGCCTCCCCCCACCCCCACGAGCCGCGCGACGGTGCGCGCAAACTGCAGCAGCCCGGGCGGCACGCCGCGCGGGCCTGCTGCTGTGAAAGGCGCAGCCGCGCCGCCCGCAACGGCGTGAGTAGCGGGGTCGGCGGGGTGAGGGTACGGAGGCACGGCGCTGCTGGCCCCGCGCGCTGCTCCGGCGACTGCTGCTGCCCCGCCACCACTCGCTTGTGCGTCCGCCTCTGCTCGGCGCTCCACCTCTTGCGCCTGCCGCACAACGACAAGCAGAGATACAAGGCACAACGCGGGCAGTGCTTGGGTCGGATGGGTAGGGAGAGCGCGTGGCGAAACGACAAGTCGCAACCATCTGACCTGCTCGGACCTTCCCCGACACCCTGTCACCGCGCATGCACCCGCGCGTTAATCACCTTCTCGAACGCCACGCGCAGCTGGTGCCACATGCGCGCGCGCCGCTCCGCCACGGTATTAATCTCGAGCGGCTCGGTCCAGGGGTTGGGGTGGGCGCCCTCGTCCGCCGCCACGAGCTCGAGCACGGGCAGCGCCAGCTGCGCCGCCGGGGGCAGCGCGGACACAGGGTGCGCACCGTCGTCGTCGGGGTCGAGAGCGTACGCGGGCTGCGCGAGGAGCAGCGGCGCGGCAGACTCGGTGAACGCCGCGGGACCCATCGGCGCGCTCTTGCTTGGGAGTGGCTAATAATAGGGAATCGCGCAGCCGCGTGAAGCGAGTAAACGGTAGAATGCCACAACAAACGTGCTCATGTTACAAGAAACTCAGGTAAAGGGAAATTGAAAGCTGCGACCATCAGAAAAATATGGAACTGCCTAAGGGCGCGTGACTTGCGACGGTGCACTTTGGGTGGGGGGGGGGGCCCAAAGGTTTATCACTTCCCTTGGGTGGTTACCCTGTTTGTGGTTGGGAGTCAGACGAGAAACAAAGCCAGTGTTGGCGGACTTGCGCGAAGTATCTCTCCCCGTCGTCAGCAGCGATGCCCCTGCAGAGAGTTGGGAACTTGAGTGTGTGTAGCGGTTTGTAAATGAAACAGCCACTTTGCTGTTTTGGCAGAGTAGTAGTAGTAGAAAGTAGTATTTGAAGAATTCCAAGAAGAAAGTAGCAAGATAGCTTTACAGGGGATCATATGATGGTTTACACATCAGAGACATACCCTAATATACTAGGATACTAGCAATGACGCCTCGAGAAGGTCGCTCAGGTCGCCATTCACCTTCCTAGAGCTAGAAACAGCAAGGCATAGCATTTATTATTATGTACATAGCATCCTGGCCTTGTTGTCTAGTCCTAGAACCAATAAGCAAAGTCTAGGAAGTCACTAATGTAATGGGCAGAGATTCTCTGCCTTGTTGGCGTCCATGTTGTTGTTGATGATGATGAGTATGAGCACAGCTGGAAATAGTCATAGCTGTAGAGTCTTGTGCTGTCAACTAATCTGCTGCGCTGTAGGTAATTCTCTGTATCAGAATGAGAACTACAGCGGAATGTGTTGCATTGACAGAATTGGGGTACATAACCTAACCCTAACTAGTTGTACCCCATATAGCCCAACCCACTACAGGCTATAATATTTGACACACCCCCATAGCCTAAGTGGGGAAGGCCAATCAACAACAAGCAACCTACGGTCACAAGACCAGTCAAAAGCAAGAGAAAGAAAACAAAGCTCAGGGTGGATCACAACGTCACCACCTAATCTGAGCACAAGCAAAGGGCCACAAGGCCAGTCCAAAAGTGTGCAAACAAATATATATAAGGTACAAGCAAGCAACAGACAAAGAGCACCCTACAGCAGTCAACTAGACCCAGTCTCAACGAGGCCTAACTGCAGACAAAACCGGCGGTGGTCACAAGGCTGGAGGGCCTTGGTGAAGATGTCTGCAGTGTTGGCCTCGGAGGCCACAAACTCCAGACGAGCCTGCCCGCGTCTCTGCAACTCTCGAAGGAGAAAGTACCTGACGTCGATGTGCTTCACTCTGCTCTCCAGTCGAGGCTCACGACACAGGAGAATCATCGCCTTGTTGTCAGCAAACAAGGTCGGTGCAGAGCTCGGCCGCTCACCAAGGTCAGTGAGCAAGAAGGTCAACCAGCGTAGCTCCTGTGCAGCGAGGGCTCCAGCGTAGATCTCGGCCTCTGCGGTAGAAGTCGCAACAGAGGAGGACCGAGTAGACCTCCACGAAACAGCTCCAGAGCCCAGGCTGAAACAGTAACCCTGTGTAGACCTCTGTGACTCAACGTCGTCGGCGTAGGAGGAGTCGCAGTGACCGGTGAGTACAACTGGCTGTGTCCCTCCAAGTACAAGCCCCATGTCTGATGTCGCGCCGAGGTACTTCGCCACCCTCTTAGCCGCCGCCCAGTGAACAGGACGGTGTCTCCCTGTCGCAACAAAGCGAGAAAGGATGCTAAGAGGGAAGGCGAGGTCCGGGCGAGTGCACGTCATCAGGTACATGAGGCAGCCCACCAACTCATCAGACTGGGCGGCAGCTAAGAGGGTGGCGAAGTACCTCGGCGCGACATCAGACATGGGGCTTGTACTTGGAGGGACACAGCCAGTTGTACTCACCGGTCACTGCGACTCCTCCTACGCCGACGACGTTGAGTCACAGAGCCCCATGTCTGATGTCGCGCCGAGGTACTTCGCCACCCTCTTAGCCGCCGCCCAGTGAACAGGACGGTGTCTCCCTGTCGCAACAAAGCGAGAAAGGATGCTAAGAGGGAAGGCGAGGTCCGGGCGAGTGCACGTCATCAGGTACATGAGGCAGCCCACCAACTCTGCGTAGGGACCACTGGGCTCGAACGGCTCGTCAGGAAAAGGCCCAGTGAGTCTGTGGTCTACAGCAAGAGGGGTGGGAGGAGGAGAGGAGTGCTGAAGCCCGAACCGCTAAAGGACCTGCTGCACCATGTGTGACTGAGTCAGAGTGATGGTGCGAGCGGCTCTGTCCCTGGAGATCTGCAGGCCAAGGTAGCGGCGCAGTTCCCCAAGATCAGTGCAGGTGTGTCTCTTCTGCAGTTCGGACTTCACCTCCGCCAGTGCAACTGTGTCGGCTGTGGCAAAAACCAGGTCGTCAACGTAGACAAGAACAAAGAAAGGTGTGCGCCCACGACGAACAAACAGCGACGGGTCGGCGGAAGACGGCTCAAACCCAAGGTCGGACAGAGTAGAGCGGAGAGTGTCGTGCCACTCACGGGGTGCCTGGCGGAGACCGTAGACCGGTCGTCTGAGGCTCCACTGGGTCCCAGGCGGGAAAGTGCCAGTGAAGCCCGGAGGACGACGCAACCAGATCTCCTCGTGTAGGCTGCCCTGCAAGAAGGCAGTGGAGAAGTCGAGAGAGTGTAGCTCGTAGTCTCTCTGCGCTGCTACGTGCAGTAACACCCGAAGAGTGGTCATCTTCGGGGTGGGCGCAAAGGTCTGAAAGAAGTCAACTCCCTCACGCTGACTGAAACCTCTAGCCACGTAGCGTGCCTTGAAGACTGGAGGAGATCCCGGCGGCCGCTTCACCTTGAAGATCCACATGCCGTCAACAATGTTCGCCCCTGGGGGGGGAACCTCGTCAACGTAAGTGCCTGTGGACCTGTAGGAGGCCATCTCTGCGTCCATGGCAGCTCTCCACTGAGAGGCCCAAGGCCCTGACACTGCCTCAGCGTAAGTGCGAGGAGTAGGTATGTCAGGAGCGTCGGGGTCTCCCTCAGGAGCGAGCAGCATGGCACAGAGATGAGGTGAAGCGGCTGCCAGGAACTCTAGCTCAAACTGTCTATCCTCTAGGACGGCACAGCCAAGGGCAGACTCACCCCCGGCGGACAGAGGACGGACAGGAGGAGCCGCCACAACGCGAGTGGCGTAGTCAAGGCGACGCGTAGCAGTAAAGTCTGTGACAGCGGCAGTGAGGACCGCGACGGAGGAAGGAGAGGCACGAGGGTCTGTAACAAGAGAGGCGAGAACACGAGAGAGAGTGGGGCGGTACGTGCGGTAGTAGTCAGTGACCGGAGTGGACAGGGAGGCAGTGAGGGACGACTCAGGAGGACGAGGAAGAACAGACGGAGGAGAACGAGGAGGACTAGGACGAAACAACACGGTACGAAGGTCACGGACAGGTGACGAGGGACGAGCACGAGGAGGACGAGAGGCCCAAGTGTGGGAGAGAGGAGTGGGAGACGGAGCGGGAGACGGAGGAGACTGAGAACGAGGGAACACAGCCGGAGCTGAGTCCGGAGGAGGAAACGTCGGACCGAACACAGGAGGAGAGGAGGAGGGGAGACCAAGGGCCCGAAGGCCAGTAACAGAGGCCGGAGGCTGCTCCGGCTGCTGCGGCGGCTGCTGCTGCTGCTGCTGCTGCTGCTCCCGCTGCAACTCCAGCCTCTCACGCTCCACCCGCTGCTGAACCTCCAACCTCTCACGCTCCAAACGCTGCTGCTCCTCACGCTCAAGACGAAGACGGGTCTGGTGTCGAGTCAGGTAGGGGTGAGGAGGAGGAGTGGTGTCAGGAGACGAAGAAGAAGAACCGGCTCCGCCCTCGACAGCACCCGGCTGAGAACCCCCAGAGCGTGTACCCCCTGCGGCAGCACGACTAGCACCTGTAGGAGGTGGACCCGCACCCCCAGTCGGGGTGCCTCCAGTGGCACCAGCACCAGCCTCAGACTCTCCAGCTCCAGAAACACCACCAGCTCCAGCACCACCACCAGCTCCAGCACCCTCGGAACGGGCAGCCGCGGCAGGTGCACGCTCAGCGCCAACGCCAACACCCCCAGAACGGGCGGCTCCTGTAGGTGCACGAACAGCTCCAACGCCAGCACCCCCAGAGCGAGCACCGCCAGAGCCCTCACCCCGAGCACCAACACCCTCAGAGTCCGCAGTGGCCGGTAAAGGAAGCGCTGACGGCTGCTGCGGAGGCTGTGAGGACGACTGTGGGGAAGGAGGAGAGACCTGGGGGGGTACCGAGGGGGGGGGAGTAGCGTGGGACACACCAGACGGAGCAGGACCAGGGGGGGGTACCGGAGGAGCAGGGGCGGGAGGAGGAGGAGCTGGAGCCAGGAAGAGGGGAGGGGGGGGAACCGGGAGACCTCGACAGGGGTACCGGACGTAGTAGGGGACAGACTCGTCGAAACGGACGTCACGAGAGTCAAAGAACCGGTGGGAGGGTGGGTGGTAAAAGGTGAAGTCAGAGGAGGCCTCAGGGAAACCAAGGAAGACACAGGGGACGCCGCGAGGTGAGAGCTTGTCCGCAGAGGTGTCGCGGACAAGCGCCAAGCAGCCCCAGACACTAAACCTCGACGCTACACCAGGGGACCCTGTCCAAAGACTGGTCGGTGAAGCCCCTGGCCGAGAGACGCGAGGCCAGAGGTTCAGCTGGTGAGCGGCGTACCGAGCCGCGTAGGGCCACAGAAAATGGGGCGCGCGGGCGTGGATCATGGAGGTGCGGGCAATCTCCATGACCAGGCCTAGCCGGCGCTCAGCAACCCCATTCTGCTGTGGAGAGTCTGGAAGAGTCCAGGACTGGGTGATGCCCTGCTCAGCACAGAATCTGGCGAGAACGCCGGAGCGAAACTCACCCCCACGGTCGGAGTGGAGACAACTGACACGACGACGACGAGTACTCTCGGTGGCGAGCAGCCACCGGATCAGCGTAGAAGTCACGTCGGACTTCTTCGCCAAAGGGAA